AATTCTTTTTCACTCAATGAGCCATGAGTCTCACTTGAGCCGCACTTGGTGAAGGAGTCCTCAGTAACTCGTAGGTGCTCACCACAGATGGTAGTGGTTGAGACGACGAGTTGACTGGAGTGAAGTAGTAGTCAGTTTTTTTACGAGGAGAATATAATCGCAGCGGGAAGAAATTGGTATGGGTACTGGTGAAGGCTGATGATTTTATATGCTTTCAACTGGATGCCCTTCATCGCTACTCGTCATCGAGGGATGTTGCAGTAGCACTGAGGGACTCTCGAAGAAATCACATTGCTATTTTTTCCTCTGTCTGTTAACATAAGGACGCGACAGGAACTTGAGCCCTTGTGTTTAGATGTGTACATTGTAACACTGTATCAGTTTACGCTCACACCGGAACGGCCGTGCAGTAAGACGCGATGTCATTGCTATGTTTCACGGGATGCTGTAGATGAATTTGTTCATGGCTAGCAAAAAATATGGCCATGAAAAGAGGAGAAAATAGTAAGATCTTGATTTCAAGGCCATGTTCGCAGATTCATGTATGTGAAACCTTTTGAAGTAGCCGCACCATGCAGACGAAAATCCAAAGAAAGATTCACGTCTGATGAGAAGCTGTTTGAATGAACAGGAACGGGAGAGAAAAGGCAATATGATCAAAGGAATTTGTTGAACAACGCTTTGACGATATACACATGACCGTGGCGATGTATCGGAATGGGGTATGTTTTCGTTGCCCTATGATACTGCCAGTACTCAATTCCGCAACCACCTACTGTAACTGCTCCGCACTAGGTCCAAGGTAGGTGTGCTAGCAAAGCGAAACGAGGTAAAAAGGCGCGAGAAAAGCTCAGACGAGTCGTACGGACCGACTTTTATTGGAAAATACGCTCACCTTCCGGTAGAGGCCTTACCGGTCATCTTGGTGGCTAATCCCGGACGACAAACTGACTTACAATAGAAAAGGTAGGTTCGATGAATTGGGGTGAGGTCACTGTGACACCGCACTCGCTGCTCCTAGTGAAGATTCAACTCCCTCTCTCAGCCGTCCCCTTTTAATGTCTACACATGGCCTCAGACGCGTCTACAAGACGTAACCACTACGATAAACACTTCATATGCACGCGTGAACTAAGAGTCAAAGGAACAACTAGACTTTACGTGACAGCATGTCAGGAACTGTTATGTGTCATAGTAAGTAAAGGCTGCTCGGCTCCTTTGCTTCCCCAGGAGCCCCCCCCCCTGGCTCATCTTTCCACGCTCCGCCCACTTGGGTGTCTCGCTGACAGTCTCGATCGCGTGGAAATAGAGCTTATAAAGGATGAGGTGGGTAAAGGATTATGATGCTAGTGAAACGTAGATGGAAATGAAAGTGCGTTATCTCAACATGAAATGGATAACTTGCATGCCCCTACACTCGCACAACCAGTCACTCTTCAGCGACTTTCAATCATTTTGTGGTGACAGGGTTTAGCGTGCTTGTCTACCTGAGTTTGCAACGGGACCAATCGCAGACCATCACTTTGCTGTGAAACTTTCAAAGGCATTTTCAAAGGCCTAGTACAAAGTTTCCAAGATGGTACGGGCGACGTCATTGTAGGAGGCTCGAGTTGCTCGATGTAACCGCCAGCGCTCACCTTCAGTCCGGGGTCCACGAAGAAAATATCGGTCTTCCCTTTCCGGTCCATACCATCAACCCGCGCCTTGGCGACTGTGGTGAAGATGATGTCCTAGACCGTAGCGACGTTGTCGGAGCTGCTCGATGTTGGAGGTCTTCCAGATCGAGAGTACTGGTCTCCAGGTAGCTATGGGTGACTCCATACTAGAAGTTTCGCAGCTGTTTGGAGGTGACATGAATTCCAAAGGTCTTCTCCAGTCAGGTTGCGACTGGAGATGACTTCATATTTTGGTGTACATGAAGGTGATGGGCGAGCGCCAGCTCCTGCTTATAGAGGAACATCTTGGGTATCTTCCGCCCTGGTACTCGTATCCACGTCCTCTGTCTGGGCTGCGAAAACTTTGCTGATATAACTCGGTCGAAGTGTTTTTTTTATTGGCTCCCTTGTATATATTTATTTATTCATTTACTGTATACTGGGTGCGCTCAGAACTGAAGGGCAGTGAAAGCTTGTTAGTAGCTCAAACCGTGATTAAAAAAACAAAAAACAAAAAAAAAAGACAGCAGTTCACGGCAAGAAACTCAAAAACTCAAGACTCAAAAACTCAAAAACCAGTAGAACCAACTTGCCTACCCTTGTGAACCTTATGTTAAATCACTAGGCAACTAAAGGAGGAAAGAGCCAGCACAGTATCTAGTTGGCCATTGCTATTTGATTTGTGTCCTCGAGTGAATTTGGGAGTCAATTTGCCAGCAAGAAGCAACGACTACTCAGAAAACAAATATGGTATAGATTCGGAAGAAGGCTGGCGCGCGGTCAGTCTGGACCACGCAACTAGGCAACGTTATTCCCTGGCGGGCCAAGATAGCTCCCTCTTTGACACGAAGCCAGGGCGTAAGACCCAGACCCAAGTATTTGAAGTATTAAATACTTGTTGACCTGCACCAGAAAGAATGAAAAGAAAAAGCGAATCAGGCTGTTGTAGATGGGAACGGGTATTGTGTGGGAGAAGGCAGGAGGCAGTTCATCGAACGATTATTATCAAGCTTTTGGCCGGACTAGAAACTGACGGCAGTCGAAAAAAAAGGGTTATGGAAGGATTAAGTTGCTAGCGAAGATAGGCAAACGGTCGGGTATTGTGATAAAAACTTTGAAGAGCAGCAAATGTGTTGGTAAAAATAACCACCGTGACAGCATAACTCATGGTAATATGAAAAAGTATGTAGTATGAAAAAGGAAGCTATCACCCCAAGGATGCAGAAACTAAGTATACAGAGAACAAATTAGCAGAACTGAAGAGGCAATCAGACAATTTTACCAGGTGATGGAAGATCATTAGAGACAGGTTGGAACCTAATTGGAGGTAGCAGTAACTTTGAAGGAGGTATTAGTGTCGCCATCATCAGTCCAGTAACATATACTCGACCAATCTCCATACAATACTAGGAATTTTGCCATAATGGAAACGCTAGAAATCTGTAATGCCAAGAATTGACATCAAGTCTATTTTGCTAACCTCTTTTTGAAGTCACTTATGCTTTTAGCTTCCAAAACACTAGGTGGGAGTTTTTGCAGCCATCTAGCGCCTCGGAAGAACAAGGAATTTAGAACCTTGTCCTGGTATTTCCTGTTTGTTTCTTTATATTGGAGTGAGAGCTTGGTAACGCGGCCATTGCACGGTCTAAAAATCCAATACTTACTGGGTTGAATCTTCAGCTCACCTTTCAAAACTTTGAAACAAAAGGTTAGATCATTAATAAAGCGCCTAAGAAGGTTCAACCTTTTCAACCTTTTTTTAATTGAATTTGATGTTTCGAGTTTAGGATTCCAGATCTGTGACGCATACTCCAACACAGGTAAGACATAGGACTTGTACAATTTCAGTAAGATTGAGCTGTCATTTGATCGTATGTTTCTAATGACGGCAAAAAGAACAGAGAAGGCTTTTCGCACGACGTGTTTTATATGCGGTTCAAAAGACAGATCAGCGATCAACACAATTCCTAAATCGCGTACTTCGTTTGAAGTGCTGAGCACATAATATCCGTCGATGCCCATTCTGTCATTTTTTGAATAGATTGAGAGAGAGCTAGATGAACATTGATTTGATTACTGCTATCATAAATGCCATAGACTTTGATGTCATCGGCACATATGCGCTCTTCCACAAAATGATGTGTTTTCAGCCTAGTAGGCAACTCGTAGGTATATAATAAAAGGAGCAATGGGGGCAGCACTCCACCTTGAGGGACACCGCTCGGGCATGAATATCCGTTTCGAGAACGAATTTTCCACATTCACATACATGTACCTATCTTCCAGGTAAGACACGATCCACCGTGACAACGATCCATCAATACCGATCTGCTTTACTTTAAAAACCAACTTTTGGTCAACTACTTTATTAAAGGCCATTGATAAGTCAAAGTAAATCGCATCAACTGTTTTTGCACTGTTAACCGCTAGGGTCCAGTCGAAAATACAGTCGGCGAGTTGTGTAGTGGTAGACGTTCCAGTAACACAATCCATGCTGCTCAAGCGGGAATCAGGTGGTTTTTGTCAAGCCACAAACGAATCTTGCGGCGTGTTATTTTCTCCAGAACTTTGATAGGTGAAGGGGTGATGCTGATTGGTCGAAAGGAAGAAACGAGATTTTAGTCACCACCCTTGGGGATGGCAGTCACAATTGACTCCTTCCACAACGTTGGCACTTCACCGAGAAGCAATGAGATATCGAAAATCAGAGCCAACGGCTTATATAAGGAATGAGCGCATTTCCTTTAGACAATTCGGGGGATTTCACAGGAAGTGGCGGGAGTGGAACACTTTAATAACTTCAAGACCCGCAGAACATCTATAGGATCAATATAAACCGTACTTGACTCCGAAATGACCCGAGAAGTAGGACAATCAATTGGTGCTTCATAATGAGAAGTGAATACCGAAGAAAAGTACTTCGCCAGCGCCTCAGCTTTACTTTCATTTTCGGGAAACTGATTTCCTGATTCGTCCAGAAGTACTGCAAGTTTGGCGCGACTTCTCATTTTATTTCTCATCATCGAAAAAAAGTGACCATTCACATAGAGCTTTGTTTTGAGGCGATTTGCCTTTCCTTATAGCTGAGAAACCTTTTCAAATGGCGATCCAGTTCTAGACAGACCTTTTCTTTTGTAAAGAGGATGGCTTAATGCATTAGTCATAGAGTGGAATAACCGTGTCTTTTGGGACATTAGGTTCAACTAATGTTAGGATACTTTGGGCCGGGGTTCAAGTAACAGGAATGGAAATTTACATACATAGACAAACCCGAGTACATGATGCGGCAGAATCGTTTGTATACTTCATCTGCTGGAACATAGTTTCGGAAAGCCTCCCACCAGTTCACCGAATCGAGGTAAGAAGATAACCCCGAGTAGTCAGCTCTATGAAAGTCAGGGAGAGGTATTCTAGTTTTATTAAAGGTTGGACTTGAATTTGAAAGGCCACCATGTTGTGATCAGAAGATGCGAATGGTGGCAGGATTGTGACATCACTCAAAAGCCGTGTAGGTGAAAGAATAAGGTCTGTGATTGCTACGCCATGAGTAGGTTGCTTAAAATTGGTTGACGCCGCAACAGTAAAGCTAGAATTCCGGATGACCCAGGCTGCTTAGCCTCATTAACGTTCCAATCAATATCAAGATTGAAATCTCCTAAGATTACTAGCTGTCTCTGTGAGAGAGCCAAGTCCAACAACGAATCAATAAGGTGACTGTCATCAGAGGTTGAGGAGTGGGGAGGACGATACACTATATTATTCTAATACTGATAGAAATAATGGAGTCAGCAAGATTGAGGCACGGAATATCAGATTTGGTGTCAGAAGGAAAATCAACTGATGAAATGGTTAAGCCATCCCTAGCCACACAGCACACCCCTCCACCCTTACGCCTGTGCGATCACACCTAAAAACCTATAAGGAAGTGTAGCTATAACCTCGGAGTTCGAAATTTTTGACGCACGTCTCAGTCAAGAATACCAGGTCGGGCTCACGAGTAGGTAACAAAAAGGTGAGGTGGTGGATTTTATTAGAAAAACTTTGAAATTAGCTCTGTCATACTCTTCCGTTCAAAGACACCAGCGAACTGAGAATCACGCAATCGGTAGGAATTTGCAAGAGCTGTAGTTCAAAGGGACCTAGCAGGGAGCACGATTTTAACTAAACGTGGACGTGATTCTATAGGCTTACCCAAACGGTACATCTCCAAGGGTCGACATTCCACACCAAGTACGTCCATCAGGTCGCTGATCTTAGACTCTAAATCAGCCTGCTTTGCTGAGGGGCGCAGATCACGCTGGGGCTCAGGCAATCCCGATATAACTAAGCTGCGTGCGCGCTTGTCAGAATCAATCGCGTCTGAAATTTCCTGGGGTAACTTAGAAACTAACGCCTTGACCATTTGATCAATTACGGGATCCTTATCGCGCTCTAAAATAGCGCTCAAAATCCTTTTGTGGACTTTTGGAGTAATCATGTTGCAATTCATCACTCTCGACTTCCAGGTCTGGTCGCTTGGCGGAAGATCTTTCTAACGGTTCCCCAATAGAGTCCTTACGCTTATTATTCTGGCGCGGAGCTAGCTGAGGCATAGTGAAACGAAAATCGATATGTGACCAGATAATCAATTTAGCAAACGGGCATGCGAGACCCCGCAAATCAGTCAACAGGGCTTGCGAAAGTAGCTTTTCAGTTCCGTGTCCAGAAAAAGGCAGCCGGTTCATTTTCGAGGTGTTATTGAAAATCGTATTTTTTCACCCAGAAGGTGGAAGCTGGGAGGTTAGTTCAGATGGCAGTCAGAAAAAGCTAAGTCAGGGCTACATGGTGCGATGGTGGAATTCAACAGCTAGGCTTCAAACTCTTGAGCAGTGTCATTTTCCAAACGTGTGACCCTGAGCTGTGGTGGAGTAGGCAAACATTGCTTGGTTGTGGGACCGAATGATGGACATTTCCATTCTCCCCTTGCAGTTATTTACAGAGAACTGGTTGGTTACCATAAGCGTTGTGAGGAAGAACTCCCTGCCCGCAAACCCTGAGAATGGTTCACCAGAAGCACAGTACCATCTTCCCACTGTACTGGCGGATTGCACGATCGATTCTACCCCTCCTGGAGGATCTAGCCACTGGCGCTTCCGGGAGCAGTTCATCTAGAAACACCTACTCCTTATCCATTCACAGTCGTTGTTCAACCAGTCTGTATGGCGGGAACGGGAGAGAAGCTTGTAGACACATCCACATGCCCTTCTCCTCAAGTATCGGTCAATAGATGAAAAAACTTTGACCGAACTTCAATACTTTCTTGAGGAGTGGGGACCTCTGTCATTTGTGCTTTTGGAACAGTCAAGTGTAAGGACTAGATAGCGAGTTGATTCGTACCAATTGGTTTTGATCAAGGGACGCAGTAGGTCCAAATCCAAGGCAGATGGCCTCTCTGGACGAGGTTTGTCTCCCAAGTAGAAGTCACTTAAGCGAAAGCGATCGGGCCATTTCAACGCCGTACTATGGAAGGTAGCATCAGGACTAACTCAGAACAAGTGCCGTGCGTGGCTCCAGCCAGGTGGTGACTTGGGGGAAATTCTAACAGCGGAAAGTGACAAAAATTATAAGTTTCATCTACCGTTTTGGATATGTCAACAGAGACTGCGCGGGACGGTAGAGCAGCTGTGGAATGTGGATGCTTACTTAACACGCTTCTCACAGACCAACTAAATCTCGAAATAGCTGCGGAAAGATTTGATATGAGATTTAAGAAAATTCACGAACTTATGGAACAACCTAATAATACTGTTTATCTTCGATGAAGTAAGCACTTTCATGAGGAAGTGTCTGAGAGGATCGGATATGTTAAACTCTCTTGGCATTGTGGAGATTCCTCCTTACAACTTGAAGCACCGCCTGGTTCGGAATCTTCTCTTACGACCGCACGTGTGGAACCCCGGACTGCGTAGTCTGCCCGAACGGCAGGGAGGGAGACTGCGCGGTCACGGGTGTGGTCTATAAGATCACTTGCCGAAACATCTGGTGACGAGTATATAGGTGGGACGGCGGAGTCACTCCGTGCGAATCAAAGAATACCTTGACGGCAAAACTAGGTCACGCGTGTCCACTGCGCTGGGTTGCCACAGGGTAAATGCCCATGGCGGGGTCGACTTCGGGGTCACGGTAGAGGTCCTGGAGCAAGAAATTCAAACTGCCGAGCGCAAAACCCTTAAGGCATTCTGGATCCAGCTATTCAAAAATGAACCGGAGGGAAGAGTGTCGTCAATATTGCGGGAGCTAAACCCGCCGAAGCGATGCTGGAATGCAATATTTCTGCTTCAACAGAAAGACCCACAAGTAGGAGCGAGGCCCAACCGTGGGCGACTGTAGAGCACTGGCGTTAGCAACCACATTCTTAGACCACATCGTAGAGTCATCGTTGTCAAATGGAGTCCTGTTCTACAAACATTGCATTGATGGCGTGTTTGTTGATGAGGTAGCAGAAGAAGATTTTGAAACTTCGAGGAGACTTTCATGACGCAGACATACCCTCACCATAAAGGATGGATCAAAGGTGGGGTGGCTTTTGTCGTTCCAGCCCCTAGTTCGGATATGTAAAGGCTGCAAGGATCACCATTGAGATGAGAAAAAGGACCCATCGCATATACTGTAGATCGATTCAAATGAGGGCGAACTTTGTGTGAAGTAGTGCTAGATCAGAGGAAAGGTTTGGCGTGAAGGGACTCAGCCGTGAACGCTAAAAATCAAAAAAAATTCTCGTAAACAACGGATATCTTGAAATATTTTCAGGGCCCGTGTTCCAAACAAGCAGATTGAATCACCTTCGTAGCGCCTTCTGTCAACAAAAAAATGCCGCGTGAGGTGACGTTGTCGCAGCTTCCAACTCCGATTGAAATTGTTTTTCGTCTTCTCCCCACACTGAACTCCATATACTAAAAGCGGTTCACACTGCTTTAATGGTGAAGTTGGCCGCAAAATCTTTGAAGAATCGTCTGGACGAGTGCAAAAGAGCCAGGAAAATAGTAGCTCGAGAGAAGCATAGCACAAAACGAGAAATCAAGCGGAATAGAATCTACATGACCTCCTTGGGCACACGGCATAATCATCAAACTCTCATCTCATACTGACTGCCCAATTGTCGTGTCAGCGCGGGGCATTTTTCTCTTCCTCCAATGGATCCATCGTCCTTATGGCTGGTATGTAAAGATCTCGATGTACCGTCTGTTAGGGCTATTGCATGGATGTTGTATGCTTGAACACTCTAATTCAAGACATAACGAAGGCCTTGTATGCTGAAAGCTAAATATATGTGGTAAACGAGTCATCAAGAGTTGCAAATACAACAGCCAGCTCTCGCTATCGCGACTTTTCATTGTTCAGCACTGTATAGATTTGCTACTATTGTTGTTTATTCATTATTATTATTATTATTATTATTATTATTATTATTATTATTTATTATTATTATTATTATTATTATTATTATTATTATTATTATTATTATTATTATTATTATTATTATTATTATTATTACTATTATTAGTTATTATTTGTTACAAAGCGCTTTTTGGGTAGTTTTCTCCTTATAATCATTAGCAATACATAGGCTTGGAGCGGTTGGTGAAGTGATATTTTCCTCCAGAAATTTCGAAGATTCAATGAAAGTTCCACTGAACCGTCTTGAGAACAGCACTAAAACTGTAGTTGTTCAGAGCATGAAAATTCTCAGTCGACCCTGTTTCCAAGGCTGTTCCACACTGGAGCTGCTCCTCAGAACCACCACAGTATTCGGCAGATCTGCTTAATTTTTTCCATGCTCCGAAGGAAGTTATGGGCATTCAAAAGAATCCCCACATTTCCCACCTGATTTGCAGAATAGATTGCTCTAGAGCAACCGCAGACTGTGCGCTCCATTGCCAGTTTGTAGTGAGAACTTCATTAGGCACCAGTTGTTGTCGTTCAATTCTACAGAGATTCGACCTTCATGTGACGTGCTCTTTGGGAAGAGGCACAAGGTCGATCGCAGGATTCATACCCACCTCGAATCGATAGACTCCGGTGATTATTTGAAAGAAGAACAATTTTAGCAGGGAACAACGAACGGCTGTAGCAGCCATATTGGTAGAAGTGATAGACTGCAAAAGTTGTTGCGCTTCGCGTTCCGTGTGTAGTGAAATCTTCTGCCGAAGTTCACAATGACGGGTGAGCACCTTTAGCGGGAGTGGCGCACGGTAAGATACTGTAGAAGTACTACAGAGATCTCCCGAGGCCTGCCTGCGGCATGCCCCCACTTAATTGCTGCGCTAACTGCTTATTGGCTGCTCCACAAAACAAGATAAATCAAATGGCATTTGTCTAGTAGTAGGAACTGCTGCGTGAAAATCAGTAATTTCTCAGTTCCATGAATATTAGAGTAAGGATAAACATTTACGTTGAAAAAAAGTCCTGTCAAAGTTACCAAAAATTGGTCTTGTTAGGTGTACCCACACATCTTACGACTTTCCAAAGGAATGTACCCACACATCTTACGACTTTCCAAAGGAAAAGTAATTTTTCCAGGATGACCGTTCACACTCTATTTTTTGCAGCTTCTCTCTGTTGACCTGGCTGGGCTCACATCCAATTTAAAGGTCATCTGAAAAGACATTCATATAGCTGAGTGAGTACACCATTAACACGCCTTATTAGGTGTTTATCGCTGCTAGCATGATTCCAACTTACTACTGCAACGGGCGCTGACAAGATTCTTTCATTCAGCGGCGATGTCTACTAAGGGACTATGCATGCAATCACAACACCCATTCTTTCTCAGGAACTCTCACACCCCTCCACAGCTCCCTCTTTCACCCAACCCTCCTCAAGTCCGAGAATGCTGTAGAAAAGGGATCAGGGAAGAAAAACAAAAAGAACTTACCCACTCAAGATCGAATAGAAGACTGTTGCAGAAGGATGGCTAAGCACGTAAGCAGTAAAATCATATAGTTTAGTACTGTATTTAAGTTTTGTTGTGAATTTGGCTCCAATCTAATGAAGTTTTACTTTGCCTTTGGAAGGCTGAAGTTGTGTGAATGCACCTAACAACACGAATTCCTAAACGTTTTGACTGCTTTTTTCAACGTAAACATTTATCCTTACATTAATATTTGTGGAATTGAGAATCGTTAATTTTCACGTGGGAGTTCCTTCTACTAGATGAATTCCATTCGATTCATCTCGTTTTGTTGCAATTAGCGAAACAGTTAAGTGAGGGCATGTTGCAGGCAGGCCTCCGGAGATCTCTGCAATATTTCTCCAGTATCTTACCGTACACTGCTCCAGCTAAAGCCACTGCTCCAGCTAAGCCAAGTCCTTCACCCCACAATGACGGTTGAGCCTATGATCTGGAAGAGTATTGAGAGACCAAAGGAAGTCACGAAACAATGCCACTCACCTGAGGCGCAGAGAGTGCCGTGATCCTCGTTTGGGAAGTTTCCTAGGAAGTTTCCATGCAAGCGTCCATCTTTTCTGTGAAGCATTTTTGCTTTCTTCGCGATGCTGACTCATTAGGCTACTGTTCTTCAGGAACGCATTACGAGTAGCAAGCAACATCGTTTACGGTAGCTCCTAAACGTGATCATGGTGAACTCTTGTCGATCTCAGTCGTGTGGGTTAAAAGCAAATATCCCAATATTTTTTTCAAAATTATATTCCAAGGTTCTCCAAACGGTGTTCACGTATTCCTGTATTCGCCACGGCAAGGTCACATCTGGTGGACTGTTTATTTCGTGGTTGCTGTTTACGATTTGTGGCCTTCCTGAAATGCTCTACTGGTCACGTCTCAGAGTAAATAGAGAGGTTTTATAGTTTTGCATCACGTTTTGCATTAACTTATAGAAAGCTCCTACAAGAATGTGATTCAGGAAATTCATCTGATGGACGGTTATAGAAAAATAGCACATATGATATGGTGGCCATTATGTCTTGTTCAGCTCTTACTTCATTGTTCTGCTGATCCCTGTGCCTGTGCTTCTAAAGTTACAAGCAGTCCTGGAGTATGTTTTCAGTTTTCCCATACTGATTGATCAAACGTCCACTTGGTCAGTCAGAAATCATCTACGATCAAGAATCTACAGGGAGGTTCTTTTTGAGAATCCTTCTCCCGAGCTGCTGTCATCTTTTATCAGTCGGATAACAATGTGGTGGTTCAACGATATGTGCAAAAAAGGAGTAAAGAAGCCTCTCGAGGTTTGTACAATACGACGACCGAGCGAACTGATCCGTCCTCACTCACTTCTTTCTTTCATTCGTTGACATTTATCTAGACCTTGAGTCGCGAAGATGATAGATTGTATGGTAAAGGTACCACTTGGCATAAATATCTCCTTTCACTTGGCAGAAAAAGGGAACTTATCCTGCTTTGGAACTCTTCACCCGACGCCGCAAATGTTTCATACCTTTCGTGTGTAAATAGAGTACTGCTAGCAATCACTCACGAGGCTAGCCGATAAAAAACTGGTCTCTCATCCTATTAGCTACAGGTGTCAAGTGAACGCTTCAGGGGTAGATCGGTTAGCATGGGCGAAAGGCTGCCTGGGGTTTAAATTCGAATCGTGCCTGTGACAAGCGAGCCATGCTACTACTACCACCTCCGACTATCTATGCGATTCAAGAAAGGTGAAACAAATGTATCCAAAAAACAATAAGCTTTGATAATTTCTTCTGTGCACACGAGGTTGGTAGGTGGAAACTTTATTATGGCCTGACGTTTCGACTAGATCGTCTTCATCAGAGGCCTAAACGTGGCTCATGGTTTGAAATTGCTCTCTCTACACCGCCAAAGATCTCCCCTTCCCTAACGTTTCTGACAGACTACTGAGAAAACCCCGAAAATCCCGAATGAGGGAAAGACTCACCCAGTCCACCACAGCGAGAGCGGAAGTAACCGCTCAGTTAGTTGTTAGTATAATAGTGGGACTTACTGTGCCAATCTTGTATAGTGATTATAGTCAGAAATGGCACGTCCCACCGCTCACATCTCGCAGTGCGACACATATGGCAAGAGGTCATTTGTTATGGATAAGCACTCATTGCGGTTGTTCATTCTAGGATTTCTTGCAGAAATCCAGAATGCCTCTAGCGCTTTTCTGGCAGAAATCTCAGTCTCGCATGCCAGATCGTGCACTTCACATCAAAGTCGTTTCCGCGTGCTCCTCGATCAAATGCTTGCCGAGTGGTGTTCTTATATTACCACGCCTTTTGCCAGCAAGATGTTCTTTGATGCGTATTGCTAACGGTCTTCCAGTCTCCCCAATGTAGGTCGCGTTACATGCCAAACATTCAATTTGATAGATCACACCACTTTTGGCGCAATCTCCAATTGAACCTTGTGGACAAGTAACGCACTGTTCTGATATGCACTGCCTGTCGTAGAGTCTGTTTCGCACCAGTTGGCGTTTGATGTTATTATTAGGAATACTAACTAATACAACATCATTGTCCAACTGCGCGCGAAAAAGACATCTCTGGATTGCAGCAGTCACTCTTATCAGATATGAATGGTATACATAGCGGGAGCTTGTTTTGGCGCGGTACGCGTCGGTGCTCAGTGTGAGTTCTTCTACGATTAGCTGGTACAGGATAGCCATTTGAAGCGGCTATATCAGAAGCAAGTCGTACGGATTCTTGCCGCTCTGCCGCCCCTGTGCTTACGTTTGCTGCAGTCCTAAACATGTTTCTCACGACTGCATGCTTCAAAGCAGAAGGATGTGCAGATGTGGCATGAATCAAGATGTTCTTGGAGCTTGCTTTTCTGTACCATTTCACACTGAGTATGCCATCAAACACTTTCACCTGCGTATTGAGGTAAGGAAGCCAACCATTGCGTGGAACTTCGCGTGTGAGCTTAATGTACTGAGACTGCTCATTCATTAGTCGAAAACACTCATCCATTTCGGATTGTGTTGATGTTACAATGAAGCAGTCATCTATGTACCTGCAGTACATTAACGGTAAACGTTCCAGCACTGGTTCTTCTATCCTGCTCATAAAGCAGATTGCAAGTACCGGTGCCAGACGTTGACCCATTGCTAACCCCCTTGTTTGGGAATAATATACACCCGACCACTTGAAGATGTTGCAACCTAGACATTCCTTGATTAGAGTCATGATGTGCGCTTTTTCGAGTCCAAAAGTCTCTGTACTCTCACCATGCCTGTCCAACATTTCAGACAGTGCCTGTAGAGCTTGGTCATTTTGGACGTTGGTATAAAGCGAAGTGACATCGAATGACTCTACTACGCCGTTCCCAAGCGTAAATTGCGTAGTTGTTCAAGGAACATTGTCGTATTGGTCAAGTGGGAGGGAATCTTGGTTAGCAACTGGCTCACAATACAGTTAAGGAACCATGAAATACGATCGGTTGGACCTCCGACGCAGCTGATTATAGGTCTTATCTTGTAAGTGTTTGGTGACGTCGACTGCATATCACTAGGAGCGAGTTTGTGGGTCTTCACGAGGCTGTAGAAGACAGGACAACTTGGATTGTCAAGTCTGAGTCTACTAACAAGGGAATGGTTTGAACTTCCCATGGAACTTTGAATGGAGACCTAGGTACATCGATAGAGTCCTCGAATGCTGATTACGAATATGCAGATTAAAAGTGCTACGGAGACCTCCCCGACGATTTCTGGGTGGTCGAAACTTGCTTGAAGGGGCGATTGTCACATAAGGCGCGCTGACTCAGCTCCGGCAAGAGGCGCCGTGGCCTAGTGGTAAGTGTCTCGCTCTCTAGGCGGCAGCATGCGGGTTTGCTCCCCACGAACGACAAAGTTTTTGCTCTTTCTCCAATGGAACCTTTTGTTTCAAATTTCGATACTTCTT